TCCTGCCGCCCCAGCCCTGGGCTCTCCCCCTACCCGCATCTCCTGCCGCCCCAGCCCTGGGCTCTTCCCCTCCACCCCCCTCACCTCCTGCTGCCCCAGCCCTGGGCTCTCCCCCAAAGAAAGAATTGGGTGGACTAAATGGACAGTGCACCTCTCTATCTGAAGCCTAGCAAGGGAGATCCCACTAGAATTTAAAATGAAAAGTAAGGGAGGGGAGGCTCTACTAGGACCTGGGCAGCCTTAGATACAGTACCAGGCACGTAGGAGGATTTACACTTCTGAGCCATGGAAGCAGAAATTGACTTTTCTTTTCCAGATTTAGCTAATATTCAGAAAGGGAATCCAGCACCTGCCTTCCAGATTTGAACACCTCAAAATTCAGGAGTGCTCAAGCTCAGTTTGGGCGGCTGTTACTTCATTTCTCCCAAATCAAATATACTGATCCACTGGAACTTGCTGTAGAAAAAGTAGAATAAATTGAGCAAGAAATGCTGCCCAGTGGTTACTAGGACTGGAATTGCTATTTTCAACAGCCATTGCTTTTGCTTTTGCTTTTTTTTTTTTAGTTTTGTTTGTGTAAAAGGAAGACAGTGATATTGTATTGGCAAATTCCCCATAGAAAGAAAGAGTGGAACAAAAGAATAATAAAGGCACCTCAACTTTTCCTCATTTATGTAGGACAGTCTTATAATCTGCATCCAGATATCCTCCAGTCACACAAGCTGAACATTGTTCCACTTTACTGCAGTTCTGTAACCATATGGGAACCAATCCTGTCTGTGTTCTGTGCACATCCAAAATTCCTGCTGAATGACCCGCCCTGGGAGCGAGTTACCAGTGACCCAGGGCTGGGGCGGCAGAAGGGTGCAGTTGGGGGTGGGGGAGAGAGAGACAGGGCTGGGGGGGGGGCAGCCAAAATTTTTTTTGCTTGGGGCAGCAAAAAACCTAGAGTCGGCCCTGACTTGCATCACCTCTGTGCCTTGTCTGGGTTGAGCTTTAGCCGGCTGCTCCTTGCCCAGCTCTCCATTCTGACGTAACGGAAATCACAGCATTCGTGTCAGATGAGAAGGCGACGTAGAGGTGGGAGCCATCCATGGCCAAGATGACTTGAAACACCAGTCCCCAGTCCCATGAGCATTCCAATCATAGAACTGTCTTTGGAGTCAACCAGACTCCCGCGCACGGAGCACTTACAGAATCATACCCAAATTATAACCCAAACCCCTGGGCAATATGGACTGCGGAGTTCAAACCAAACCAACTCCCTGCTCCACACCCAGGCCTCCGTGCATGCAGCAAGACATGGAAGTTACACTACAGGAAGCAAAACATAAAGCACACCCAAAAAAGGCAATGAGTCAAAGACCATGAAGAATTTTCCTACCTTTGAACTACATGTTGTGCTTTAAAAAGGCACCTATTAAAATGGGGGGAGGGATAGCTCAGTGGTTTGAGCATTGGCCTGCTAAACCCAGGGGCCACTTAGGGATCTGGGGCAAAATCAGTACTTGGTCCTGCTAGTGAAGGCAGGGGGCTGGACTCCATGACCTTTCAGGGTCCCTTCCAGTTCTATGAGATAGGCATATCTCCATATATATAATTTTTATATGGTACATAATGGAAACAATTAGATCAGTGCATAAACAAAAAGGAAACCGCATTCATTAAAGAGGTGCGTTGGATCACGCATGAGGAGCGCAGACAGGAACACCAGCCTGAGAGGCAGTTTTACAAGTTTGAGGCCACTGTGTTATATTTTCTTCTGATCTGTCTGGATAAACGTAACTTCCTCCTTGGGTTAAAGAAGACACCAGTTTAAATCTGGTTGATAATGTTCATTTAAATCAATGGTTCTGAAAAGAGTCTCTCAGTTACTGGGTAACGTGTGGGGACCGCACTGGAGAGAAGGCTATCGGAGCACACGGTGTCATGATCTTAGCCATGTCATAGCATATATATTTCCACATAAGCAGGGCACTGTTCTCCTTTACTGATGTTTTTGAAAGAACGGGTTCATATATTTGAAGTAGTTTGGGGTAAGTTTAATCAATTCAGCATCCAGGAAATAACTATTATTGGCATAGTTTTGACATTATTTCTTACTCGCCACTGAAAAAGCATCAAGAATAATGGCTTTTGCTCGCCCACGCATCAGGATGCGTTTAAACCTGCCACACACCAATGGATCTGGGTCTGTGAGAAGAACAGAAAAACGGATTCAGCATTACTCACTGGCCTTGGCTGTTCTTGGTCAACAGCCAGATTTGCAAAAGCATTTTGGTGTCTAGAGATGCAGCTAAGCGCCTACGAGAATTTTCAAAAGCTCCTAAGCAGGTTAGGCGCCTCCAGCCAGATCCTCCAAGTATAGGTGCGTAACTACTTTGGAGGACCTGGGCCAGAGATACCACTGAGAGTCCAGGGGAGTGGGGTGCCTGACTCACTTAGGTGCTAGTGCAGTGGTTCTCAAACTTTTGTACTGGTGATCTCTTTCACATAGCAAGTCTCTGAGTGCGACCCCCCTTATCAATTAAAAACACTTTTTAATATATTTACCACCATTAGAAATGCTGGAGGCGAAGCGGGGTTTGGGGTGGAGGCTGACAGCTCACAACCCCCCCCCCCATGTAATAACCTCGCGACCCCCTGAGGGGTCCCGACCCCCAGTTTGAGAACCCCTGTGCTAGTGAGATTGACAACAGCACCTATCGGCACCTTTACACACCTAAACACCTTTGTGAACCTGGCCCCAAATAATTTCTTTGAGGAACAGTTTTCAACAGCTGAATGAACACTTCAAAAAGTTATTTCTTTGATTCATTGCTCAACAAGGACCAAATCATATATTTGCTGAATATTATTTGACCAGCTGTTCTTCATACCCCATTAATCATTCTCCACCCCTTCCAGCCCTCCATGTTCCCATTGGCTAGTTGAGGGTACTGCTGAGGGGTCTACCACGCCATACCCACATCCTACAGTCTTCCTGAGGGTCAGTCAAGCTCAGAAGGTTCATCATCAGACATCTGGAAAACCCAAGGTTTGAATCAGCCCTGCGTCTTCCAAGCCTGCCCCCTCTTCTCCTGAGGGAACGCTCTGCTGTTCAACATGGTTCCTGCTTTGCCAGACGTTTTCTGGACTTCTTGACAATTACATGGTGTTTCCCGACCTGCCGAGCCTTAGAAAGTCTGACACGGTCTCTGTGTTAACCGGAAGGCAGGTTTGAAATATCCCCCCTCTCCTGACAAGGGCAATTCAAGGAGCTGTTTAAACTCTTTCTGGGACGTGTTTGGAAATCTCAAGCTTGAGAGCCCCAATTCCTCCCTTGTTTGCTCCCCAGTAAGCGAGAAGATATTTACTGATGGATCCATACCCAGAGCCATGCACCTCCCTCGATCTGCACGTCCGCCCCCCATTGGCATCAGCCGGAGTGCCGGACAGAGCTGGACGGGAGGGCATCACCCTAAGCACATTCACTCAGTAGCTGACCCACGTGGATCCTCTGATGAGCGATCAGACTCGTCTTCTGGCTGAAGCTCTTCCCGCAGTGAGCGCACTGGAACGGCCGCTCCCCGGTGTGGATCCGTTCGTGCGACACAAGCTCGCACTTCTGGCTGAAGCTCTTCCCGCAGTGGGCGCACTGGAACGGCCGCTCCCCGGTGTGGATCCGCTGGTGTTTCACCAGGTTGGCACGTTGGCTGAAGCTCTTCCCGCACTGGGTGCAGGGGAAGGGACTCTCGCCAGTGTGGATGCGCTCGTGCTTCACGAGGTTCGACTTCTGGCTGAAGATCTTCCCGCACTGGGCACAGGTATAGGGGCTCTCCCCGGTGTGGGTGATCTGGTGAGCCACCAGCTCATACCTCTGGGAGAAGCTCCTCTCGCACTGGCCGCACTGGTAGGGCCGCTCCCCCGTGTGCACGCGCTGGTGCTTCACCAGGTTGGATTTGCGCACAAAGCTCTTGTCGCAGTCGGCACATGGGTAGGGCCGCTCCCCTGTGTGCAGGCGCTGGTGGGAGATGAGCTCATAGGTGCGGGAGAACCGCTTGCCGCACTGGGAGCACTGGTGAGGCCGCTCACCCGTGTGGGTGCTCTGGTGTGAGGCCACACCTGACTTATGCCGGAACCTCTTCCCGCACTGGGCACACTGGTGGGGCCGCTCGCCCGTGTGGGTCTTCCGGTGCGAAAGCAGGCCCGACTTGTGGCCGAAGCGCTTCCCACACGCCTCACACTGGTGCGGCCGCTCCCCCGTGTGGGTCCTGTGGTGCGACACCAGGCCAGACTTGTGCACGAAGCTCTTCCCACACTGGGCGCACTGGAAGGGCTTCTCGCCCGTGTGGATCTTCTGGTGCTTGGCCAGGTTGGATTTGCGGATGAAGTTTTTCCCACACTCACTGCACTGGTACGGGCGCTCCCCAGTGTGGATTCTCTGGTGGAGGGTCAGGTTGATATGCTGGGTAAAGCCCCTCCCACATTCGCCACACCGGTAGGGCCGCTCGCCGGTGTGGATACGCTGGTGGATGGTCAGGTTGACGTGCTGGCTGAAGCCCTTCCCGCACTCAGCGCACTTATACGGCCTCTCCCCAGTGTGAGTCCTGCGGTGCTGAACCAGCTCCGATCTCCAGGTGAAGCTTTTCCAGCACTCGTCGCAATTGTGTGGTCTTGCCCTTTTCTTGGGTGCCTGGTTCCCGCTGGGCCACGTGCAATGGCTGTTCCCTCTTCCACCTTCAACCGGCTGCCCCGGCCAGCCGCCTTCCTCGCCGCTTGGCTCTGGGACACGGACGCTCTGAGTGCTGCAGTTCTGTGCCTTCTCTGAGCCGTTGGCCGAGCTGTTTCCAGTCGGCAGCTCCGGGGCTTCCAACTTTTCAGCACATTCCTCCTCATTTTTCTTCTTGCTTCTCTGCCTGGGCCAGTCCCCTGCTGGATGGAGAAAAGAGTTCAGGCATTACTTATGGATGGGATGGTGGTAACGAGTCATAGATTTTTAAGGCCAGAAGGGACCATGCTGATCTTCCAGTCTGACCTCCTCCAGAAAATTTCACCCAGTGATTTCTACATCCAGACCAAAACTTCTGGACCAGCTAACGCATGTTTTTAAGCATGACATACAGTCTTGATTTAAAGCCTTCAGGTGATGGTGAAATGATCACATCCCTATTCCAATAGGTATTATTCCAATAGTTAATTACCCAGCCTGTTACAAAATGTGTGACTTATTTATAACCTAACTTCTCTTGCTTCACCTACCATTCGGCATTTGTCTGCTAGGTTAAAGAGGAATCTACTATCAAAAATCTCTTCTCCATGTAGGTACTCAGAGATTGTGATCTAGGCATCTCTTAATCGTCTCTTGGATAAACTGAAGGAAAATCCTAGACTCACATGTATCCTTGGAGTAGCTCCACTGGCTTCCCTGAACATCGGGAATGAGTCTGGCCCCCAGTGTTTGGAGAGTTATAAGAACGTAAGAATGGCCATACTGGGTCAGACCAAAGGTCCATCTAGCCCAGTATCCTGTCTACCGACAGTGGCCAGTGCCAGGTGTCCCAAAGGGAATGAACAGAACAGGGAATCATCAAGTGATCCATCCCCTGTCGCCCATTCCCAGCTTCTGGCAAACAGAATCTAGGGACACCTTCCCTGCCCAACCTGGCTAATAGCCATTGATGGACCTATCCTCCATGAACTTATCGAGTTCTTTTGTGAATCCTGTAGTAGTCTTGGCCTTCACAACATCCTCTGGCAATGAGTTCCACAGACTGACTATGCGTTGTGTGAAAAAATACTTCCTTTTGTTCGTTTTAAACCTGCCAACTATTCATTTCATTTGGTGACCCCTAGTTCTTGTGTTATGAGAAGGAGTAAATAACACTTCCTTATTCACTTTCTCCACACCAGTCATGATATTATAGACCTCTATCATACCTCCCCTTAGTCGTCTCTTTTCCAAGCTGAAAAGTCCCAGTCTTATTAATCTCTCCTCAGACAGAAGCCGTTCTATATCCCCAATCATTTTTGTTGTCCTTTTCTAAACCTTTTCCAATTCCAATATATCTTTTTTGAGATGGGGCGACCACATCTGCACACAATATTGAAGATGTGTGGGCGTATCATGGATTTATATAGAGGGAATATGATATTTTCTGTCTTATTATCTATCCTTTCTTAATGGCTCCCAACATTCTGTTCGCTTTTTTGTCCATGTTTCCTCTTTTTGTGCAAGTCCTTTTTGATTTTCAGGTCATTAAAGATCTCCTGAGGCAGCCATATTGGTCTCTAAGCACCGATTTTAGAACTTTGAAACATCCTATTCAAGTTATTTATGTGTCAGGATTATTATTGCTTTTCAAAAAATATTTAACGGAAAAACTGCTCTCAGCCCTGACAGCAAATGGATACACCAGTGACTGTGTGCGTAGATGTGATGTCACAGAACAACACAATCTGTGAGTGTGATTCTCGGCCCTGACTTGAGCTGGTGTATTACACCGGATTCGGAGTGAGGGAGATAAACACGGAGAGGAAAGAGAAACTCAACAAAATAATGAGCAATTTCCCAAATAGGCTACACCTCTGGGGAGTTACATTCCCCCATTACCACCGGGATTTGTCCTTTGGATGCTTTCCCTATTTGTTCTAAAATACCTCCTCCTCCTGATTTGCTGGTCTATAGCGTCCGCTCCCCTACCATGAGCGGGACGTGTCTAGTGCTTCAGCCATGGGCTGGCCCTCTGCACAGGGGCGAATTTCTCTCCCTCCATTCAGGGAAACTGAGCAATGACCTGCTTCTGCTTGTGATGACGCATTCCACTGATAACAGGGCTGCACGGAGGACCGCTGGGAATGCGCGTGTCACTTTCCGTGTCCTGCTTTGCTGCGGAGCAGTTCCAAGAATGTTGCTTCCTGTTTTACCAAGTGGGGCTCAGACAGGAAGCCTCTGTGGGGGCTGGGAAGGTGCCGGAGGCTCACATCAGTGACAGCAGCATTAGCAAGGCTTGTGTTTCCCACATGCAAGAGGTTTGAGGGTCAAGGCTGGAGCAGCATGGGGTGCAGTGTCACCAGGGGGTGGTCGTCTGTTACTGTCCCACAAGAGCTCACTGTCTTTCCCCAGCGATGTCACGTCGGGTCGGATCCGTAGCTGGTGTCAGTCAGTATATAGCTCTATTGACTTCAATGGAACTACGGACATTTGCATCAGCTGATGATCTGGGCCATTGCATGCTTACTAGGTAAGACTTCTCCTAGGACTGGGAGCCCCCTGGAACAAGGACTAGCTTTTTAAAGCCAATGTGTACAGCACCTGGCACTGTGGGGCTTTGATCCTGGACTGGTTGCCCCTAGGGGTTACAGTAAAACCAATAAATAATAATAGACTAAAGACAGCCCAGGGATTTCAATGATCCTGCTACACCCAGTAAAACAACGAAGGCTGATCCTTACCCAGAGAAATCAGATTTGCATAATTCTCCCTCATCACCTCCTGGTACAGCTCCTTCTGCCAGTCTGCCAGCATCTCCCACTCCTCCCGGGAGAAATAGACGGCGACGTCATCGAACGTCACCGGGACCTGCAATCACAAGCACCATTCCCTCAGCACCTGCGGCTGCAGTCACCACTCGTCCCTGGCTGTTGTGACATTCCAGCCCAGCCTTCCGACCTCTCTAGGCCCCTTCATATCCTCCCCCGTCCGCCCGGGCGTTGAAAAGGCTTCCCATTGCAGTGCCATTGGTGCATGCAATTCGTGGGCCGGTCCCCGCTTTTTCCAGATCATGAAACACACAGTAACTAAAATCCAGCCTAAAATCAACCCCAGCAAAACCCTCCTGGGTATCTCTCTCCAGCTCCACACGGCGTGGTTACTCCTTCTCCTTCACTTCCGTTTATAACCCCACCCCACCACGCCCCCAGTTCCAACCCAGACCCCAGTGGTGGTGTCCAAACCAGTGCCTATTCGCGGTAAAATTAAGATTTCGTGACACCCTGCACTTAAGCTCCCTTAGCGTCTAATTCCATTGCTGCTGCTGATCTCCCCACAGCCACTACTTCGGTGAGTTCATCAGAATAAAAGCAATAACCTTCGTCTGGCGGGATTGGTTCTTTATTCGCCCTCGCTGCTTACTGCTCATGGTTCCGCCAGCCTCAAGTTGCTTAGCGGGTTTTTAACTCTTACTATTCCTTCTGGTGATGAAAGGTAGTGTAATCGAGTGGGAGAGAAGTGGACTGAGACGAAGGAGATTTGGGTTCTATTCCTAGCAGCACGGTGCGTGACCTTGGGCAAAACACCTCCTCTGTTTCCCCTCCCACCCATTGTCTATTTAGACTGTAACCTCCGGTGGAGGGGACCATCTCTTGCCACCTGTCTGTACAGTGCCTAGCATAATGGGGCCCGGATAGGGTGTCCAGCTGTCCCGATTTTATAGGGACAGTCCCGATTTTTGGGTCTTTTTCTTATATAGGTTCCTATTACCTCCCACCCCCGTCCCAATTTTTCACATTTGCTGTCTGGTCACCCTAGGCCCGGATCTTGACTGCAGCTTCTAGGCTACCATCAATATCTATCCATATATTGATAGACATTGCTAGAGATTCAAGTGTGACAAACCACACAGCGATTGCTAGGATCTCTCTCTTTTTCCACACGCCACGATCTACCTTCTTCCTGTCTGCTCAGCCTGCAGGGTCATTAGCGAATTCCTTTTAAGCCTTACAATGCCTGTTATCTGAGGAGCTGCTTTGTATATAGTCTGGTTCTTTGCACGTCTCCCATCTCCTGCTGTCCATCCACAGCTCCAGCCTAGGCGACCACACCTCCTCTTTGGTAATTTTCTTACCCATGGCCAGATTTAAGCAGCACGTTATTAGGCGAGCCATTGCAGAGCCCTCATTGATTTCACTCCCAGCCTTACCTTTTCCTACAGCGTTTTTTTGTTACCCCAAATCACCACAATTTTCAAAGTCCTTCTTATTCCTCTTAGCTCCTGTGATGGGGTGTCCTACTCAGATGGGTCCAGGCCATTCCGAAGTGCGGGATGGCTTGGAGGTCCCCTCTCTGCTTGGCACAAGAGGTGCTGGGGGACAAACAGTGAATACCTTTTCCAGGCACCGAAACGATTTGTGAATGTGGGTCAAAATCAGTGAATAGTTTTGGACAAAAAACCAAAATGAACATTTCAGAAATGGCAAAACATTTTGAAGCGTTTGGCGAGTTTGTTCTGAAATGACTTTTTCCAGACCAAATGTTGTTTCCAATCGACATTTGAAATCTTTAGTTGGACCCAGATGAAATTTTTTGTTCATTCTGCTGAGAACATTTTGTTAAAATTCAGTTTTGGTGTGAAGCCAACCAGAGTTTTTTCTGGCTGTTTGGGTTTGGCCCCTGACTCAAAAACCCAGTTATTAACTCAGCTCCAGAGACAACCCCTGGACAGCAGTCGCAAGGTCATCCTGACTTTCTCCTGCCCTTATCTTTTGCTTTCACAGACTGATTATTCCTATTTGGCTGCCTCCCTTTTTCTGTTTCCAGCCTTTTCGGTTCACGTGGACCCAGTGAATTATAATTCTCCCAGTTGCGTTGCACAGCTACTCAGCACTCTCTCCCCAGTGTCTTGTAGATTCATCTGATATCCTCTCTTGTACTGAGTATGCACCAATCTTCTGCCCCAGTGCATACCCCATGCAAAACTCATACCACATCCTAATGCAATATGCTTATGAAGTGTGCTGCCTCTCCTGCTAGGGGCGGGTTTGCATAGAGGATAATAGCCTGCTACTGCTACCCTCTAATAGTGCTGCCCCTTTGTCTCAAGTAGTGGCCTCCCCTCCCCTATTTTGGTTCTGAAGCACCTAGGTTCAAATCCTGCTGGTAGCTTTAGAACTGTTCCATTATTTGTCCCCGAAGAAGTTCTTCACGTAAATAAACATATGCACAAACACACACACACATACACCCCCCACACACACACATACACCCCCCACACACACATACACCCCCACACACACACACACATACCACCCCACACACACATACACATACACACACACACACACATACACCCCCACCACACACACATACACATTCACATACACCCCAATTAAATAAATCAAGCTCTCCCCCCCCCCCCCATCGGCTAGGAAGGAAGGAGGGAATTGCTACTGTCACTTCTTTAGTTACAAAGCTCGGGAGATGGCCCAGATGCTGTGGCCGTAAGAGCCATGTCTGCAGGCAGGCAGCCAGCGTGTGCATCAGGGGACCACGCTCCGGGCACTCCGGACCCGTCTGCACGCATCCCTGGTGCACCTGGTGCAGGGGGGAAAGGCCCCCGGCTGGCAGCGCTGCGCAGCGCCTCCCCCCGCTCCACAGCCACACAAGGGAAGTTGATGGTAAAATCTCCTACCTGAGCCAAAGCCCCTCCCGGCATTGTCCCGGCGGCTGGGCCGCAGGCGGGGGAGAGGCTTGGCGGAGGCCGGCCAAGCGGCCAGGGCTCCTCGCGCCCCGGCTCCAGCTGGGGGGTTCCCCAGTCCTCCGCTGCGCTCGCGGCTCCGCT